TTTTTGTTATGCAGAAGGCTTGTAAAGATTCACTTATTGATTGTGTAAAAACTCTGCTTCATGAATTGTCTTGCTTCTTTTTATTACCTTGTGGATGGTACATTATTTGTCATGTGACTCCATTGTTCTCTGCCTCACTTTCTAACCAGAAAGGATGGTCATGGTTCCGGAAGCCTCTCCTGTAACTATTGAATTATTTCCCTTTTGATCTGGAGTTATGATGCACCATGCGAAAGATGGATTATAGCAATACTGTTACCATTCCACCATCCTTCTCCTTTGTGGTCATGGCATATTATCTCTCTAATGTGCTTCTGGATTTCATCTGTGCACAAGGCTCTCTGAATTCCAAACATCTGTTGAAGGCTAACAACATCTCCATTCTCAGGGAGTTTCTCCCTCCAAGGGGCTTCTTCTACTTCCTCTCTCCTCTTCAGCTCCACAGAGGGCACTCAGTTGGTCCTTTGAAATGACTCCTTCTGCCACTGCCCACCTCCATCCCATTGAGATACTGAGTTTCTAGCACCTCATGGTCAAGATAAACCCTGGAGCAGCACTTCTGATAGATGGTAGAAGCCTGATTCACCTCCCATGAGGCTCGAGGGAGCTAGTGAGCACTGGACACCAATACCTAAATACCAACGTCCACCTTCCCTGAGTGACAGAAGCTTTCAGATTGTTCATTTTCTTTTCAATCAGAACAGCAACCTCCTAACAAGGTATTGGAGATGTGATGTGAAGGGACAGGCTTTATGATGGCCAGTGATCACCTGGAAGACTTTGAACACCGTCTGAGTTGGTGCAGAAGAGGGTAATCCCAAGCCACTCCAATGCCTGTATCAGTGAGAGGCATCTTCACACATCAGTCATAGAAAGCCTTTCTCTACAGAAGCTGGTTTCTTCTCTACACAAGTTAAAAACTAACTTCTAAAGACTATAAAATTAGAGAGATGTGTAGGTAGCTCAGAGGGTAAAGTGCCTGCTATGCAAACATTAAGACCTGAGTTCAAGACCCATAACCTACATTAAAAAGCCAGGCATGACAACACCCCTGTTAATCCCAGTCCTGGAGAAGAAGAGGCATTCTCTGCTACTCAAACAACTTAGTAAGTTGCAGGTCAGTCAAAAGAAAAAGGTGGACACAGGAAGGAGCAACACCTGAGCGTGACTTGTGTTTTATACTCTTCTCTCTCTCTCTCTCTCATGAATATACATACATAATCTTGATAGAGCAATAGATGCTATTTTCAATTATCAGCCTCCCATAGAGGACTCCCACATCTATTTGACTGACTCTGGGGCTGATTTAAAAGCAAATGACCAACCTGAAAGCTGCCATCATACAGGGAAGGTGGACCTTGGCTTTTAGGTGGGTCCCCGGTGCTCACTAGCTCCCTTGAGCCTCATGGGAGGTGAATGCAGACTTTCACCATTTATCAGGAGTGCTGCTCCAGGGTTCTTCTTGCCTATGAGGTGCAGAAGAAGTTGCTATCCTGACAGGAAGGGCCTTGAAGTCTGGCTCTCCAGAGGAAGAAAGGAAACAGTGGCACTCGGGCTCTTTGAGGTGGGGAATGGTAGCACGGGGCAAAGTTGTGATTGGCAGGCTCTAACTGCGTACTTCTGAAGCAGGGATTGCAGGCCTTCCCCAGAAGGACCTTCTGCTAAGTGGACTCAAAAGAGAGATGCCCCACAGTCTTCTTCTGGACCTCTCTGTTTCTCCTAGTCATTCTCAGGGCTGTGCAGGGTTGCAAATGACCTCCCTCAGTCAGCTCCTTCCGTCCATGAACTGGAAAATACAAAATGTGTTTTATTGAGTCCAAATGGTCAGTTCAGCCAAGGCAAATCTCACCCCCAGTGGGCCCTCCATCAGAGCTCCTCTCTGAGCTCCTGGAGTGCGGACGGGAGGGAGGCCCATGTGTTTCTTAACTTGCTGCAAGTGTGATGAATGCTCCTCCCTCCATTTGGACACAGCAACATCTTCTGTATAAAACATCTGAAAATGACTTTTGATGCTTCAAAGTGGCTGCAGTGTCTTTTGTTTGGGTTTTTGAGTTTTAAGCAGTCAGGTCATGAAATTGTAAGACGATCTTTAAGAGTTAACGATTAGAATTAAAATGGCTGTTCTGGCAGAAAGTAGTGAGCTGTGGCTTCTGGCAGGTTCTTACTAATCTCACTAATCTCAGGTACTTCTGTAGGTCTGAGCCACTGTGGTGGCAGATGAAGGCGGTGTTCTTCATAGACAGCAAATCCAGCTGAGGACCGGGGAAGGTGATAACGATGGCAGGCTAAACATTAGCCTCCCAGCAACCTGACCTACATTGGGAAGAACTGCCAGACAAGCTATTAGGTTCATTTTCTGGATCCACCACCCTGTCTGCTTTGCACCTGAAAAATTCTGCTATGAAAAGTAGATGAAAGAATCAGTCAGCAGCCACTGACATGCCTTGTAGGAGCTTATACATGTGGGCATTCAGTAAGCATGGGTTCTTACCTTTAGAGATCTCATTGTGCTCAAAATGTACACTACCCAAATTGTCAAATGCTTTGTGCTTGAGAAAATGTCAAGTCATCCTATTAAACCCCTTGGAAACAGAGTAGAACTCTCATAATACCACACCTTTTGCTGTACAGATGTGGTACAGACCTGGGGCTAGATTGCTAGACTAAATCCTGGCTTCAACTCTTCAATCACCTGCTCCTTCTGTGCCTCAGTTTTCTCAGTCTGTTTATCACAGATGATAACAGGACTTACAGAGCTATTTGCACGTTAAATTAATCAAAACAAATGGGTGTCTAGAATAGCATCTTGGAGGGACTGGGGATGCACCCCGATGGTTGTTTGCCTAATATGTTTGAAGCCTGTGCTTTCTCTGAAGCGCCACATAAGTTGCGCTGTGTTGGTGGCTTATGCCAGCAATCCAGCTCTGAGAGGTAGAGGCAGGAAAATGAGTAGTTCAAGATCATCCGCAGCTATGTAGGGAGCTGGAGGTGCTTGAACTAGAGGAGAACCTAAGTAAGTAAATAAATCAATGTCTTGTATCTTGAAAATATTTTCTATTTTATAGCCTTGGTGTTTGGGTAGCTTGAAAGTCATGACCATAAAGAGTTAAGGGGTAGAATGTAAAATCGACCTTTTAATGATTACATGCGACGCTGACGGTTCTTGCACGATGCTTGGAGAGTGGAAGGATGGGTGGCCCAGTATCATTGCCAGCCGTGATACTGGCAATGCCCCCGTGACAGCTCCACTTCTCTCTGAACTGTGATTGAAATGGTGAGACTGTGCTGCAAGTAGACGCTTGAGCCTAGTTATTTCCACTTAACATATACAAATTTTTCAGCATCCAAACATTTATTTAGCTAATTTCAGTGGCTGCACAACGAAATCATCATCCCCAAACCAGGAGGTGTGCTCCCAGTGTTCACTGGTTAGATGCGCTCTTCTAGGTAAGGGGCATGGCTAGCTCTTACCTGCAGCGTGATGATGGGTCATGTGTGTGCGTCCTTTTCTGTGTAACTTTTTCCGTACCTCATTATCTCTAGCCTGAACTCCCAGAAGTGAAGTCACTGGGTCAAAACAGTGAAGCTTTTGAAGGCTCTATTAAAATAACAACAATAAAACAAACAAACAAACAAACAAAAAACCTTGTCAAGCTAAAAAACCATTCTAGGCTGGTAATGGGTTGCCACATGCTCTTCCCACAGCTAACCTGCTATTGGCGAATTTAACATGGGAAAAGAAGCGGAGATCAAACTGAGTTCCTTGGTGCTCAGCGAAATTCAAAGCAACAGGAAGACATCCTTCTGGTTAGGAAATTGAGAGCCCGTGTCTCCATTCAGAGGCAATTTTTCTGTGGAGGTGTTTTTCGCTTTGGAGAGTGCGGCTTTCAGCTTCTTCTGGGTTGTCGTGTTGCATATTTCATGGTGCTCACAGTTCCTATAAATCTGTGTCTGTGGAGGCTTCCATTTAGTTTTCTTATCAAGAGTTGGAGGAGGGGTACAAATTCTTGTCTGGTTAGTTTCCACAGTGCGGCTGTTTAACACACTCTCTCCCAAAGTAATACCTACTTTACCCAAATTAAACATGATCTCTAGTTCGCTTGCTCAGTTGGAGCACGCGTTTGAGATTGCTAAACTGTGGACGAGCTCATAAGCAGCTGCCACGGTCTCAGCTCCATTAACTCCCAGTGCCGAGGAGAGAGCTGAGCCCTGTAGCCCGGCTGTAGTCTTCATAGTTAATAAGACAGTATTGTTACTTGGATGGAGAGAGGTGGCTCTTTCTCACCTTGGTTTCCAGATGTTGTGTATCTGTTAATCTCTGCATGTTCAGAGTCCACAGAAAGTTGTATCTGCCCTTGTTAACATACCAGAGGGAAACCTTCAACATTTCTTTCTCTGCCCAAGGTCTTTCCAAATGCAATTGTGTATGTCTGTAACTGGATTCTGTACAGCTCACGGGGGACAGTCCTTAGTGACAGCCCTTGCTAGAGTCCCTCTCCCCTTCTGCAGAAGCTTGTTTCCCTAGCCATGAGGGGCGGGAATCCCCAGGACAGCCATTTTGGCTTTTTGTCTGAGGCTTTTGAAAAATGCCAGCCAATATTCTCCAGACTGTTTAAATTAGACAGAAGAAGGGATAAACTATTTCCGTGAGAGTCAACATCTCAGGCCTCTTTGTGACTAGCACAATAACAGATAGATGAGCAAAGGGTATCACTGAGAGGTTTGGGAATCTGGATGATCTGGAAGTTCACTGTTCATTTTTCCTGTGTGCTCAGAAACAAAGAAACAACAACGAACAACCCAAAAGAGAACCAAAACTAGACCCACACTGAGGCCAGCAGGTGGCCTGCACCAATTTGTCCTGGCTGTGGTATCAACACGGAGTCTTCTGACCTGCCTGGCCTGGGCCACGCGGCTGCCTGTCTAGCAGTGTTGCCATGGTAGACAAATGGAGTGATGGAGACGGCATGTCTCTAAGCTGTTTCTGCTCTCTCTGCCAGCTACACGGTGGGCACCGTGCAGGAGAACAATGACCAGGTCTGGAAATTCCAGCGGTACTTCCTGGTGCAGGAGTACTGCAACCGCCTCAACATCCCCTTCCCCTTCGTCGTCTTCGCTTACTTCTACATGGTGGTGAAGAAGTGTTTCAAGTGCTGCTGTAAAGAGAAGAACATGGAGTCTTCTGCCTGCTGTGAGTGGGTCAGCTGCTGGGGTTCTGGAGTGGTGGGTCGTTTCAAAGGATGTGTGGTCTCCGTCTCTACAGTCGGTTCACTGTCTATCTCTAAATGTTGGGTGTCAGGTCAGCCAATGTTTGCCTTGGTCTCTTGGTTGAGGGTAGGCTGGGAAGCATTGCAGTGCTGCTGGGCAGCCTCATTTAGGAGAGTGACTTTGGGACAAACATAATAATAATGTAAATAATTTCCTTAGTAGAATTCATGGACGGTGTGAAACCATTGGTATAGTTTTTTTTTTCTTTTATTACTTCTGTGAAGCTATGTTTGGAGGAGGATTAGCCTAGCTCCAACAGGGTAAAGGGCTATCTGGGTTGCTTTTATTAGTCAGCTTTCTGTCGCTGAAATGAAACACCTTAGGTAATTAACTTGTAAAGAGCAAAGGTTCACTTGACTAAATGCTGGAGAATCCAGTTCAAGACTGGGTGGCTCCATTGCTTTGGGCCTGGCAGAGAGTGTGTGACAGAGCAAATCACTTACATCACTTTCCAGGAAGCAGGGGTGACTCAGAAATGGCTCCCATTATCTCCTTTAAGAGCATGTTGGGCCCCACCTCTTGAAGTGGGGCCTCCTTCACCTCCTCCTTGTGCCATCTTGGAGGCCAACCCTTTAACACATGGGAATTTGGAGAAAAACTCATCCAACTGGTGTCATTCTACTTCTGGTTCCTGAACCTTCATGTCTACCTCACAATACAGAATGTATTCATTTCATTCTCATGGTCCCTGAAGTCTTAACTATTATTCCAGTATTATTCAAATGTTTAAAGCCAACAGCTCATCTAAGACTGCATCCAAACTGAGGTATAAGCCTTTGCAAGTATCAAAGTTACATGCTTCCAAGGTCCAGTGATGGGGGCAGACACAGATAAGTATTTCTACTATAGAAAGGAAGGATAAGCAATAGAAAGAAGCCAACACCTCAAGGCAGATGAAAACCAGAAAGGGGTAACTTTAAGTCCTAAAGCCCTATGCCTACCATCTGGAGAACTCCGAGGCAGAGAGTGACCTCCCAAAGGGCCGTTCTGCCCCTGTCACTTTGCTGGCTACAGTCCACTGTGCAACTCTCCAGAGAAGGTTATGTTTGTAGCATGCTGTTGGCAATTCTATATTTCTGGGTCTCTGTCCTAGTTCCTCTCACACAGCTCCATTCCATTCTGCTCCATCAGAGGCTCTTGCAAAGGTGACTGTCCATTGACAACAGTCAGCTGTATGTGTTGTTCTGGTTGTTTGCCTCATGGTATGTGATGAAACACGTGAACTTCTGCTACCAGATTTACATATCATGTTGAGTTGGCCATACCTCTTTGATGGAACTCCAAATATTATGATTCAGAAAGCAAAAATGTCACTATCCTAGATATGATAATTGGTGGCAACTATAATGAATTTTAAGTGCCAAGAGCCATCTTTCTATGGGATTCTTTACATCAAACTGAAGGCAAAATACTCATGGCTGACCTTCATTCCCTTATGCAGAGACCTGACCCATATATAGCCTGGATTTCAGAATATAAATACACTCCCATCTTTAAATCAGCCTGAAGCAGAAAGGACCTTCATATTCAACTTTAACTGTGTCATCCCAAGACATTAAATGCCACTTTGGAGGTGTCATTAACCATCTCACATGTGTAATTGTCTTCCTTGATGAAAGTATTTTGACAATTTGGATTAGTGGCTGTCTTTCTCCCTATTATTTTGCCTTGGAAAACAAATTGAGCCGTTATTAACTGAAAGAGTGGAAGTCTTTATGTTCAGTAGGGAACCGAGAGTACAGATCTGGAATCTAAGTACTCAAAAACCAAATGTCAGAGGCATTTAGTGACATGCCCACAATTACATTTGGTTCCATCTTGAGCTCATGTTATAAATGAGAAAGTCTCCAGAATCTGGGAGAAGACTGAGGGGGTACAATCAATGCCTTAGGAAGGATTACGTATTTCCTTATTTTTGAACAATGAATAAAAGTCAGTGAGGAAAAGGAGCTGGAGAGATGGCTTCATTGACAAGAGCTTTGCCTTCCAAGCATAGGACTTGAAAGGCCAGACAGGGTGGTATATGCCTGTGATTTCATTGCTGTGGAGACAGAGACAGCTTCCTTGCTAGCTAATTGAGCCAACCAGTGGGCTCCAGGTTCACTGAAAGCCACTGTCTCAAAACTGTGGACAGTGATCGAGGAAAACACCCAGTTCTTACCTTTTGGTCTCTACACAAATGTGTATACTTATGCATCCACACAGATAGACAGGCTATCCGCATATAGCCTACACATGAACATATGCACATGAACATGTACACACACACACACACACCTATTGCAATGAGAATGGTTTTGACTCAATATAAAGACAAATGCAGAGTCAAACTAACGTTCAGTTTTGTCTGGAAATGGAATGATCTAGAGAACTGGTCATTGCACTGACTCAGGCTGGGCATGAACTGATGGGGATGCTATGAGGTAGGTAAAGGTCCATTCCCTCAGAATATAGTACACCCAGCCTGGGATCAGCAGAACCAGGGAGCTCAGTGTCAGGAAGGCAGAGCAACTCCTGGCTTCAGGCTCAGCTTAAAGGAGAAGGGTAAAATGCATTGCAGTGAAGCAAGGTGAGACTGTCAAGCAGACACAGAACCCCATGACTAGCCAATAGGAAGGAGTTTCAGCATAAGGAAGCAAACAAGCATGTCAGAAACGCTTTGTTATTTACTCATTTCCCTGGAGAGATACTGGACGAACGAGAGATGCTCCACGGACAAAAGCAACACCCTCTTCCCACACATCTCACTCTCAGGAGGAGGCAAAGAAACAGAAGGACAGGTCCCCTCTCCCCACTGGTGGCAGCGAGGATGGAGAGGGAGCCAGAGCCCAGTTCCCTCACCAGCGACTCTCCAGCCTGCACAGTCACTGTGGAGTTGCTTGCTGCCTCTTGGAGAGGACTGATTCCAGAAACCATAGCACCCTGCCTTCCCCAGGGACTCCAGCTGTCAGTCCATTCTTAGGTGCACTTTGTGTTTGCCTCCCACACAATGGGGAGATCACAGGTTTAATTTTGAAATTGCCCTTCTTTGGAGGAAAAATACAAGATTGTTTTTTCGAATAATGTTCAAAAAGGCAGGCCCCAAACTTTCATTTTCATATTTTTAAAAACTTGGTCAGCAGTATCTTCAAGTAAAAAAGCATACTTCTTGGTAATTGTGTTTTTAGAAAATATACTGTTCTTTTCTGATTTGGAAGGCAATACATGGTCTTTACAGAACATTTGAAAAATACAGAAAAGCGCAAGTAAGGATCCAGTGCCAGACCACCACCCAGAGATAAATGCAAAACAGCATTAATTTCTGTGGGATGTACATTGCCTGGAGTATATTATATGTAACTGTTCATAGAGTAATTGATTCTTTTATATAGCTGATAATACACCATCAACATGATTAATATCCATGAACAAATAATGCTAAGAATTCTAACTATGAAATATCCTAGTGTATGAAGGTGCCATAGTTAATCCAACCACTTCCTTATTGTTAATATGTATAGTTTTGTTAGGCTCTTTAAAAAAAAGGATTGATTTTTAATTTTTAATTATGTATGTATGTGAGTGTCTTTGTGAGTATGTGTGTATGAATTCGGGTGCCTGCAGAAAACAAGGTGTTGGCTCTCCTGGAGCTGGAGTGGTGGATAGGCAGTTGTGAGCTGCCTGATGTGGATACTTAGAACCAAACTCAGATCCTCTGGAAGAGCAGTAAACATTGGCAACCACCGAGCCATCTCTCCAGCCCCTGGTTTGATTCTTAGTAATCCCATGATGTCATGATAAGAAGTGATATATGAACATTTTCACCACATGAATTATTTTTAATGTTAATTTTAGGAGAGAAATATCTGATAAAGAACATGTGTCTCCCCAGTTCTTTGTGTAACGTCTCTTACCACCTTCTCATCCTCTGTCACCATTAAGTTGTTACAATGGATGAAGTTTTCCCAGAATATGGGCAGGGGCTTCTCCATATTTTTGCTGGGACAAATATGTCTGATACTTTAGAGCCTGCTAATTTTTTTTTTTTTTTTTTGGTACAGTTGGTGAAAATGCTAGGCTACCATTTCAGCTATCCTTTCCCTGACTGTGAGGGAAGCTGGCTGTTTTTCTCAGCCGTTTGTCATTCTTGTTCTGGCTGCCTGTGTCCAGAAATTTCAATCTTTTATATGTTGAGTTCTAAGCATTTAGTTTGAAAGAAAGACATTGGAAACTACTCCAAAACGCATTTGAAAGGAAATTGGTTAGGAATTGTCTTGAAGAGTAATAACAGCCATTTAAAGATAAAGATATGTTTGCTGGATAGAATTTTCTTGAATCTAGTCACTGAAATATTGCTTTGATCTCCGATTTTTTTCAATTCGGGAAGTTAGTAGAGTTTATAAACTCTAATATAAGAATGTGTGCATTTACATGGCAAGTCAAGGGTAAAAATCACACAAATCTATTCTAAGTGGCCACCTACTCACACATCTCTTTCCTGTCCCCATGAACTCTCCGGGTGTCCATTGCAAACATTAGTGATCTTGATGATGTGTTCTTTCTTTGGCCTCCATCTGAAAGGCTCACATACCATAAGAAACCTAAATAAAAACCTCCCTGGAACATGTCCTAGGCCAGTGTGTAAGTTTAACCTGCTTTAGGGGAAAGGGGGAGGATGGAGGTTGGAGGTCAGGCTTTTTTTTATGACCCAGACCATGTGTTTCAAAGTAGAATCAATGTCATCAGATTGCTCGCCTCTAAAGATCTCCTGGCCTCGAGTCTAAAGATCGAGAGTTGGAAAGCCTGTAGTAATTACCCAAGGGAATGGCTTTGTGTTTTTATGTCATCAAAACAGAGAAGTAGGCACACCAAGCATGAGCACCCACATTGTTAACAGATGACTTGGTTAAGTCTCAGAAGACACAGGCAAGGTCAAACGGATCTTATTTAGAATAAAGATCACATTCTTAGTCCACACAGGCGGCTCCCACCTCATTCTTAGTGTCAGATCAGCTGGTACAGACAGATCCAATTGTTCCAGTCCCAGAGCCTCTAAGATGCCTGCTGGCCACTGATTCGGAAGACAGAGGCAGATGAAGCAGTCTGAACAGCTTTCCTTTTCTCATTATTTCAGGCTTCAGAAATGAGGACAATGAGACTTTGGCGTGGGAGGGCGTCATGAAGGAGAATTACCTTGTCAAGATCAACACGAAAGCCAGCGACAACTCAGAGGAGTATGTCATTCACTTTGCATATGTAAGCGGCAGTGTGTCTGAGCATGCTCAGTAAGGTGTGTTCTCAGTGGAGAGTGATAGTAACTCAAAAGTACCACCCAAGCAATTGCAGGTGACAAATCCTTAGATGTATGCCAGTCCCTCAAAACAGGGAGAGACCACTCCAGTTAATCTGACTTTCCCCCTAAAGGGCAGGGAACAGGAAGCGTCCTCAAAGGTTGCATCTTTTTCTTAGAAAAGTGAGGTGTCCTGTGTTCTAGGCATTGAGATCTTGAATGTAGAATGATAGATATTAGCATCCATAAAGCCAAGAAACAAGAGCTACAAACTGCGGAAATGAGTTCAGGAAGACTCAGAGGTCATGGGCAATCACATTATCTTGCAGAGACCACAGGTATGATTATCATTGCACTGCTGAAACAGAGAACCAGAAGGTGGCTTGTTACAAGCTATCTCTGGAGAGTAATGGCTATCATATTTAAATTGTGTGGGTTTAAAAAAAAAACTCCCTACAAGACCCCAGTCATTTAACTTCTTGAAGTAGGGAAGACAATCAAATCGACAGATGATATGTAAGTAGTATATCATAGAATCACTGAAAGCCTGCTCTTCCTGTCATGGAGGCTGACCTTCCTCAGTGACAGTCACTTTTTCTAGGGCTTAAACCCTCCTCAAAGTATGCTCTGGCCAGTATAAGTAAATATGAGCACGAATAATCTGTTAGAATTAATACAGCTACTGAGGGGCGTAGGATACTCTTTCTCTTGAGACCGCGTGGATGTCCTATGTTCTAGACTCCCAGGTCTTGGATATGGAGGAAGGTAGATCTTATGACTCAGCTTTCACTACCCCTATCAGCAGACATAGCATTAATTTTCTGTCTTCCTGATTGGGGTGAGAAAGGAATTCTGCTTTGTTTAGGCATGAGGAAGAACAGCAGAGAGACCAGTGCAGCTGACCCTGACCTGAGCCGAGACTGAAGACTGCATCATCTGTCTTCTGTCCTTTGAAAGATGAAAATAGGGACAATGAGACTCCCTCCCTTAGGCTCTTTGTCTTACTTTACTTTTTAATTTTCTTGCAGGATGAGGCATCGGTTTAGACAACTGGATACAAAGGTATGACTCAGAGTTCTGGAATGATTTATTTAACTTTAATGTCTTTGAATTTTTGGCTCCATGCTGGTGTGTAGGGTCAGAAAACAAAAGAAGACATTCATTGTTAAAAAAAAAAGTAGATGTGGGTTCATCTGTCTGCATGATTCACCTAAGAGTTGGGGCCTGCAGTGGAATTACTTCTTTTTTAAAAAAAATTATTTATTTTTTAATTAATTACAATTTATTCACTTTGTATCCCAGCTGTAGCTCCCTCCCTCATCCCCTTCCAATCCCACCCTCCCTCTCACATCTCTTTCCATGCCCCAAGTCCACTGATATGGAAGGTCCTCCTCCCCTTCCATCTGACCCTAGCCTATCAGTTTTCATCAGGACTGACTGCATTGTCTTCTTCTGTGGCCTGGTATGGCTGTTCCCCTCTCATGGGGAGGTGATCAAAGAGCCAACCACTAAATTCATGTCAGAGACAGTCCCTGTTCCCATTACTAGGGAACCCACTTGGAGACTGAGCTGCCATGGTTTACATCTGTGCAGGGGTTCTAGGTTATCTCCATACATGGTCCTTGGTTGGAGTATCAGTCTCAGAAAAGAGCCTTGTGCCATCTTATAAATACTTGCTTGTACTACTTCTTAAGCTCCCAGCCTTCATGTGGAATAGTCCAGAAATGCCACTTCTGTTAGATTTATTTAAATGTCAGCTTGACACTACCTAAAATCACCTGGGAAGAAGGTCTCAGTGAACAACTGTCTAGGGCAGTTTGTCTTATGACCATGTCTATAAGAGATTGTCTTGGCTACATTAATTGATGTAGGAAGGCCCAGCCCACTGTGGGTGGCACCATTCCCTGGGGTTGGGTCCTGGGCTGTATAAGAATTGAAAAAATGAGTGGAGTTTAGGCATAGATGTATCCACTCTCCCTCCTCTTACTGTGGATGTGATGTATTAGCTCCCTCAAGCTTCTGCCCCTGTGAATATATTTAAGGTATACAGTTGGAAATTTTGATGCATGTATACACTGAAAAATGCTTGCTACAATCAGAAGGCTGTTGGAAGCCCTAGCCACACAAAGCAGTTCCTCCCGCATCTGATGAGCTGTCTCACTGCCTCTACCTCTCTTTATGCTGCATCTCTGTCCTCTTTCTTTTCACTCTGAGCCACCAGAATTCCTTCCTTTCTATTCATAGAATTCTGGCAATCATGTCCTTAATTTCTGTTTTGAGAGCAAGTGTTTTGCATCTTTTTATTTTCCTTTTAAATTGACTTTGATTTTAAACAGCTCTATTGAGATATCATTGACACAAATTCAGTGTATTTGAGGGATACGCCTGGATATTTTGATTCGTGTATACACTGTAAAATTATCACCACAATCCAGTGTAGCTAATTTACATACTTACAGAGTTACTATCTGCATCTAGTAATACTATCCTAGGATTCAATTTAAGAGCCACCTGTGGTTTCGGCACATCTCATGTATACAACAGGCAACATCAATGTATAGACTGATAATAACACATGCATATAGTATAATAGTAATCATTCTCACCTCAGTGTATAGTAGGTCCATTGCCATTCCTTTCTTCCCTGGTCCTTTTGCCTGTTTAAGCCTGTACACGTAAGTGAGAGCTCACTGGAGGGGGTTGCCTGTCTGTGCCTCACTTATTTCACTCAGCAGTGCCATCGGAACCATCTGTGTCCCTGTAGATGGGAGAATTTCCTTCCTTTCTTCTAAGTACAATTGTTCTCTTCTGATACATGAGCCACGTTCTCTTGATACATCAATCTGTTGGTTGACACTTGGGTTATAGATAGCGCTGCAGTGAATGGTTCAATGTAGGATGCCTCCAATCTTCTGACATCAGCTCTTTAGCTGTGTACCAGCAGTGAGGTCACTGGGTTGTTTTTAATGTTTTGTGGAACTTCTATATTCCATTTTTATAAAATTTATTTTTTCCAGGAGAGATTTTTGGTGTAGTCTTTGTTACAAGATATTATTTGATACCCTATGCAAACAGATCTAGACAGTTTTTCTTTTCTTTTCTTGCCTGATTGCATGAGCTAACATTGTTTAGAATAACAGTGTTGATGTAAAGAATTCTTGTCTTAAGATCTTAGAAATGATGGGATATTGAATGTGGTGATAAGATTCTTTCTTCATAGTCTTTATCGTATCTAAGTAAGTGCTTATTTTGTTGAATTTCTATTGTAGAAGAAATCTGGAGTTGATTTTCTACTGAATGTGTGGGTCATGTTGTTTCTGTCCCCATTCTGTTCACGTAGCTTACTATACCCATGGGTTTTCATATGCCGAACCACCTTTACATCTCAGGGTGAACTGCACCTAGGTATGGTGGATGGTCATTTAATGTGCTCTTGAATTGAGCTCTCTATTATTTTATTGATGTTTTTTGAATCTTTTTTTTTCCACCAAGATATTGGCCTATAGTCCTCTTTGCTATCTTTGTCTTTGGGACCAGGGTAATTTTGGCCTCATACATGGAGTCTGGAAGCTGTCCCTCTTCTATTTTGCGGAAGAGTCTAAATGGTATTGGTGTTTGTTCACCTTCTAATGTTGGATGGTATTCACTAATGAAGGTGTCTCTCTGTTCCTGAGCTTTTCTTTGTTGGAAACATTTTGATACTGATTTTTTTTTTCCAAGACAGCGTTTCTGTGTAGCCCTGGCTGTCCTGGAACTCACGCTGTAGAGCTGCTGTCTTGAACTCAAGGATCTACCTGCCTCTCCCTCCCAAGTGCTGGGATTAAAGGCATGTACCAACCACCACCACCCGGCTAATACTGATTCTTTCTCCTTGTTTGCTACTAGCTTGTTTGAATTTTGTTATTTTTAAAAATTATTATATTTTAATTGTGTGTGTGTGCACATGGCACACTATGGGTGTGGAGAACAACTCTATGACTTGATTTTCTCCAACTGTGTAGGCCTGGGGGATTGAACTCAGGTCACCAGGCTTAGCATCAGGTGTCTTTACCTGGCGAGCCATCTTACTGGCCCTGGGCTCTGTGTTCTTGATCCAGTCTTGTTAGGGTATACAGACTTAGAGAAATCCCTAGCTCAGTAAGGTTCTAACCTGCCGTAGTGGAGAACAAAGGGAACTGGATGTAGGTGCTCCAGGTCTGTTCTTCATGAGACCTCCATTTTATCTGGTGTGTGCCCTAATGCATAGTTGTCTGACCTGTGGCCAGCCTGCTCCTGGAGGAGGACTTTTGTGTATACTGGCAGCTGCTCTTGTGGTTTAACTGGCTGTAGTTTAGGCCTTCCTAGCCATCATTCTGTTGCAGGAGCCTGTTAGCTACGTTCTCCCCATATGTGGGGAGAATCCAGGCTTAAAGAGCCCCTGGTTCTTCAAGTTTGCACAGCACTACAACAGAAACAGAAGGCAATAGCCTTCTAGCTAAAGAAAGGTTTGTTGGTTTTGCTCAGTGTTTTACAAAACCAACCCTGAGTTTTGCTTATTTTCTTCTTGTTCTCTGTTTCACTTATTTTAATCTGTGAGTCTTTTGCTCTCCTTGAAGTGGCTTATTAATACCCTTTTACTATTAGCAAAATCCCTTGGAGGAGCAAAACCATTTTCCATCTCATTATAATAGAAAACAAAGTCACTCACTGCTGACCAGATCCTAGGAGTGGGGTTCTCACCACTGTGCTCACTGAGGCACCCATTAGCCATCACAGTTTCTCTTTGTTATTATCATTTATTTCTAAATTAAAGGCTATCACTGGAAACAGTCCCAACTTCAACACAGGTTTTTTCCCCCTGGAGTATGTCACAGTATGCTGGGAGCCATAACACAGAAATTAGAACCTGACCATGCACTTTAACAAACTACATCAAGGTGGCATGTGACTTAAAATGAGGCCATGAACCTCATATAATATGCAGAATAATCTTATGTATCATTTATGTAAGTTACATTAGGGGATTTACTCTGTGTGTGTATGTGTGTGTGTTAGGAGGCATAAAATTATATCTTACTACTATCTTTGTAATTTTATTAGTATTTTTATATAGCAAAACTTTATTAGTAAATGTTGCATACATTTGAGTACATTTGCATATCTGAAAACATTACTCTTGTGCCAACATAATCTGCTCGTTCTGGGAGGAAAACCTTTTGACCTGCATTTCACGAAGCTAATGTTTGCTAACTGCTGACCATAGTAAGCAATAAGCAGGGCCGGCCATGTCTTTCCTGTGTCGTGTTTATTGTTTAACATTAAACATTCTTGTCATTTAAAATAGAATGTTGAAAAATTGTGTTAAGACTGGGTTCTGTTTCTCCCCCTCGCCAAGCTTAACGATCTCAAAGTTCTTCTGAAAGAGATTGCTAATAAAATCAAATAAGGTGGGTGACCATTCATGGAGAGAAATCAAATTGCAATGAGGTGAGTTAGCAATTTTTTTTTTTTTGGCTCTGAAAATTTTAGTGTTTTAAGAATATTTTTTAATTGTGCTGGTTTCTCACTTGTTTTATTTTCCTATGCTATCAGCTCTCACAATAAAGCACTGTGAACAAAGCAAATAAATCATAGTCTAGAGACAAGGAATGGGAGTTCCTCCTTATGTTCCACCCTGATGATGGCTCTAGGGCACAGTTAGCCTACAGGGTCTGTGTAACACTCGCCAGCCTTACAGCAGTTTTCACATAAATTGAAATGATGTCATACTGACCTAAGACTTGCTATTTTTTTCTTACTTAATACTTTACTATAGATATTTTTGTGGAAACATGTTTAAAATGTTTTTTATCCTCATGTTTTTTTTTTAATGTCTATCACTGTGGGGTAGGTAGATGTATTCCAATCACCCTTCCACTATCTGTAAAAGTTCCAGGGAGACATGGGAGGGTTTTAACAACAGCTCATTTGCACAATAACATGTAACTCAATTAATTGGCAACATCGAACTCAAGGCTTTGCTCCAGCATCTTGCCATTTGCATTAAACATGTTTTCTCAGCACCTATCCAAATCCTGAGACCAAATGTTGAAGATTTGAGGAGCATGGGGAGGTGGGGAGGAGGGGGAGGCACAGCTATGGTGGTTTTTTTGGTCTACAAGGAAACTGTAAGGAATGGAAAGAAACATATGGATTGTTTCCCCTCTCCATCAGGACTGGCTCAGCGCAGCAGGAAGGTTGGGACTGTGATGTGCTAGCCTCTCCCACTGGTCCCTAATGCTGTCCCGTCACATTGATGTCTCACACTGATCCCTTGTGCTGGCCTCCTGAGCTGCCTCTCACACACTTATGTCTCCAGGCCTCCATTGTGGAAGGCTTACACCTGATGAAATTAGAAAACTGAGTGGCACTTCCTGAATATACTGAAGAATTCAGGCCCTGGGTACTCAGGAGGAGCCCATTTCAATATCATCACAATGATGTTTAATTTTGAAGTTTTTAAAAAATTTAAAATAAACCGCACTTTGGATTTTGAGACAGTTTTTTTTTTTTAATCTATAAGTTGGAAAAGAAAACAGGAAGAAACTGACAAAACAAATGATGAAAATAAATTTAAATGTGATTAAAGAGTAGAAATAACCAGACGAGACTCAGGTCCGTGCTGATACAGCCACCAGGAAGCTCTGAGCCCTTCCTTTCAGCTATTGACTGTGATGTGGGCAAACAGACCGGCCTTCTACCCGCCCACCTGCACTTAGCTTTGGCCTTTGCTAAGATGCTTCGAGTTAACGAAAGGGTGAATACAAATGACTCACAAGGATGTGCCATCACTCTTGCATGTGTGTATGCGCCGCGTGCTGGTGTGTGCACAGTGTGTGTACCATGTGCTGAGGTGTGCACAGTGTGTGTGCATATATGAGAAAGAAAGACAGGATGGAAAAAGAATCTAACAAGTGTCAAAGCCAGGTGTGGCAACTGCTTTTGTGATGCTGTAAGCAAAACAAACACACAAACAAACAAAAAAGGTGAACCACATCTGAGGAACAACACCTGAGGCTGTCCTCTAACTTCTATGTGTAGACATACACATACTAGCACACACATACAGACACACACTAACACACATATTGATACACATCAACATTACAGAAACACACATACTAACACATACACTGATACACTAACATATACTAACACACACAATAACAAACTAACATGCACTGAAAAACATACTAACACACTAACACACATACTAACATGCATTAACATACACACACAGAATAACAAACACTAACACATACCTTAGTTTGCACACTAACACATTCTAGTACACATACTAGTACTAACACATACTAACACACACACACACACACACACACACACACACACACACACACAAACACACACACAAATAATGCCCCATAATTTTCTCCCAGTGACATCTTTAGAAAAACTGAGCCTGTCAGTACTTTCTTGACCTTCCCACCCTTAAGAAAAGTTTAGTGTTACTGGCTGCCAGGCCTAAGTGTCTCAGACTCTAGTCTTCCAGTGTCTCTTGGTGCTCCTTTCTCCAGGGCTCAGGGCGATCACCTTTCCCTGGGAAGGTGTGACAGGGCAGAGAGGGTCAGCCTCAGGGGAGTGAAAGCTGGCACAGGGGAAGCACAGACAGACAGGAAGTTAGCACTTCTCCCATCTTCCTCCCTGTGTCAGCCTTTTGTCCAACCACTTGTCTCTATTTTATTTTTTCTTTCTCCTACACGACAGCTGGAAGTAAGACTCCAGAGCAAGCATTTGCTTTCTCTGCTTTGTTCCTCAGGAGTGAGCAGCCTCTCCAAGCACCACAGTGGAGGAAGGTCCTTGGACATGGCCTGTTTTCCAGAGACCGGTCTTTGGCTTCATTGTTTTACTTTCTTTCCAAAAGAGAAACCTTTTGACTTTCCTTTGCCAGTCATTTGGAAACTGCATTTTGATAAATGTTCCAGTTTTCAACTTGGTTATCTATTTGATTTTGATTTCATGTAGCGACCACTGAGCAAATGAAGTCCTTATTGCTTCCCTGAGGCTTAGCTGAGATGGAATGAGTTGGGCCTTGCTTGGTGAACCTCACACACTTTGCACGGGCGGACTCCCAGACAAGCACAGATAATGTCACAGGCTAACCTGTTGGTTCCGGTGGCATGCCCAGACCTCTTCCCAGCACAGTTTGAAACAAGCCTGTGCTATCACAGAATGGAGGTATGAAAAGCATTCCGAGTTCACCATCTTCTTTGTTTTCACAGGTCTAACAGCCATGTGGGTTTGGAGGCTCATGGGACACTGACGGACAGTGCTGCTATTGACTTCTAAAGGAGAATTTTTCAGGTCCCTGAGCACATAGTCACCCTTGAGGGCATGAGTATGGAGGACATTGCACGTGACAAGAGGTGCAAAGGGTCACGTGTTTCTCCGTGAAGGCGCCTACACTTTCTGCATCTCAGAGCCTTGTACTGAGGTTGAGGGTTCAAGTGTTTGCACGCCTTCTTCGCCCCTGGAACTTTCCCACCTTCATCCCTTGCGTCTCCCATGACTGTAACCCTGGCTCTGATTTTATACCTATACTGTTATTGTGTTTTTTTCCTACTTTCCCCTTTCCTGCATTGTATGATGAATTCACTGACATATTGTTAAAAAGCCCTAGCACCCTGCCCCCAAATCATACCATATTCTAAATACCCTAGGGCAACTTCTCCCTTATTCCCATATCAAAGGAGGGGCACTGAGGCAGTGACTCCTGCTGAAGAGACCAGCCCAGAAGGAACCCTTAAGAGGCACATTTTGCTCATTTTGTTTTCACTGGGTGTGCCCCTCCTCCACCCTCTCATTATTTCCCCATTAAAGCTATCGAATGATATTACAGGAAGTTAGGCAGCAAAGATGTACATAAACAACCTCCCACTCCCTCCAGTGATCACTGCTCACACGTCTGTGTGTTTGCCCAAGTCCAGCTTTTCCTATGCATGTTACACTTCACTTACACGCCATCATCTGCATACACAGTTTTCTATAGGCCTTTACGTCAACTATTTTATCAAAGATGTTTTCTTCATAGTCTTTCCAAGTGTTCTCAGCACTTCAGTGATATTCAGACTTCTAGCAGTTTCCATGATATAGGTCACTGGTAGCTGACGCCACCTGGTCTTTGAAATGAACATCTTTGTGCATGAATCTTCTTTCTGCAGTAAGAGCATCAAGAAACCTCCTGTCTAGGACACTAGATTCTTTGGAATATCTGTTAATTATCAAGCCACTTGCAAGGCTTTTTTTCATCAGTGTGTAGCAAAATAGGATTTAGCAACTTATTCATAAGACCTAAGATACGCGAGGGCTCTCTCCATTAGGATGTGATATTCTACTTAACTCTTACTTTAGGAAGATGCCAGCGTTCTTGTTTAGGCGTTGTGGAGTATGTGGATGTTGATACAGATTCTGAGTAGCTATCTAGTTGAGCACTCCACCTCTACCCTTCGCTGGAACAAAAGAGTTGTGCTGAGAGAATAAGGCAGTGTTAGCACTCATAACTAAGTTTTTCAACTTTTTCATCAACCACACATTCAGCGACTGAAGGAGGGACCCTGAGCAGGAAGCTTGTTGAATGAATATTTTAGGTAGAAGAATGATGGAAGCGTTAACCCAGATGGGTTTATTTTTATTTGGCCTGGCTAGTCAAGCCCTGCACGGTGTCAGCAGAGAATGGAGGAATAAGGATGCCTGCTACTTAAACCCATCCTGGTCTCACAGGACGCTCATTCATTGGGGTCTCAGAAGCAGAGAGTGGACGGGGCAAACTGGCAATAATGAAAACGGCCAATGGATGGAAACTGGAGCATTTCTGTTAGTGAGAACATCCCACTTCCATTTCACCCTGATGACCAAGGTGCTCGCCATGTCTGAAACCACCAGGAGGAAGGGTCTGTCCTCTCCATAGGGATTTGCAAAAAATAAAACCTCTGACAGCACACAGACTGTGCAGACAGAAAACCAGAACCAGGCCCTTACCATCAACTTAAGTGAGGAACCTGAATAAAAGAAGTAAAATGTAAAGTTCCCTGTAAGATTAAATTAGCCTAATCTACCTGCCAATCCCCCGTTAATGACTGTGCTCACATGTTCGTATTTCCACACTCTGTCTCCACCAGCTTAAGAAAACTGTCTTTGTACATAGGGTGCTCCTGTTGACCCTGAAAAAGAGTTAGACAATGCTCAGGCTGTGCTCACACTTGGGGGGGGGGAACTGTCAAGCTTTCCAAGTGGGATCTCCCCATGATTATTCTGCAGGATGTGTGCTAATGTGACGCCATTATTTCTAATGTAGCTCATGAAATAGCACGTGCTTTGCCCGTTTGTCAAATCAAAGGTGCTGCATCCTTTGGTCTGCTACTAAGCCTCCGTAGACTTGTGCACAACTCCAGAGAATCCTGCAACATGGCCTCAACCAATGTGTGAGTGAGAGCATTAAACCATGGAGGACTTACCTTGTTTATGATGTCATTCTAGTGGGAGTGGAAGACCAAATAAAAGTCATTCTTCGCTGAGTTATAGTCATTCCTAAAGGGATTTGAGTTACAGGGATGATAGCTGAACCATGCTGAGTGCAAGCAGAAACAAGTGTGCTGCGGTTGTAGTTGGCTTCAAGATCTTTAGATACTGCAACCCACTTTTTGGTCGGTGTGTTAACCACTTTGCTGCTGTTGTGATGAAACACTATGATCAAAAGCAACTTAGAGCACAGCTTATTCAGGCTTGTGGTTCTAGAGGGATAAGAGTTTATCATAACAAGGGGGCATGGCAGCAGGTAGCAAGCAAGGGGACAGGAGCAAAAAGCTTACATCTTGAACCACACACACAATCAGAGAGCAAACTAGAAATGGCGAGGAAATTCTAATTTCAAAGAGGGCCTGTACTTTCTCCATCAAGGCCACACCTCCTAAAACCTCTCTAAGCGACATCACCCACTCTCGAGGTTAGTGTTCAAAACCACTATAGGTAGGTGTTATTTGCTAGGCACCCATCTGTAACCTAAGGGTCTCCACCTTCACTGACTCAGAAGTACCCACCACATTGCTGTTAACCGTCTTCTGAGAGGTTACAGGGCTTCATGTGTAGGGGTTCATCAGGCTAGCAGATTACCCAGGACGGGACTAGTGTTGCTGGATACTGTTCTCAAGTACCTCTGCTCCAAAGGCACATTCCACCCCCACCCCAAGAGGAATCAGGGAAATATATCTTCCTCCACCTGCTTCTTTGTGGTCCACAGGAGACTGATCCTGTGGTTGTCATGGAGACGGTTGCTGCCTACAGCCTCTGTCTTAAAAACAAACTGCTCAGAAGTCAGGCGTTTGGTCTGTGCTGGAGCTGGACACTGGAGGCCAACCTCCTGCAGTCCTTCTCTATCCTCTTTTCCAGGCACGAGGGCATGGGGGTTTGGTGGCCTGCCCCGTTTGTCCGGCAGAGCTAAGCAGGCAGCTTGTAGCTCAGCTAGCTGGGGTCCAGCTGGGCCATGGGCAACACCTCCGCACCAACAGCACCACCGGCCAGTCCGCGTGTTTTGTCAGTTTGCATTTTCCCCCCCAGAAGTCCTGTTTGTTGAGTTCCCCTCGCTCCTTACACGCAGGCTGTTTTTCAAACGTGAAGTGTTCTCCTGTGAACACTTCGTTGGGAAGGGAATGGCTTAAACTAACTGGGAGGAACAGGTAGGCTGCACTTTCTACCATTTTCTAATCTGCTCAGGTATAAGAAGTGACTCCAAGATGGAGAGTCAGTACCGAAAGGAACACTAACTAAATGCAGGGCTAGGTTGGAACCCAGGGGGACTTAGAATGAGGGTAGGAGAATGAGAGGTCAATCGGGATGTAGCCTTGCTGGAGCCGTAAGAAGACTGGCTTCCTCGGAACTCTCCTGAAGGAGACCACCCAGTGTTTGAAGTGTAGAAATGCCTCAAGAAACAGAGGAGAATGGAGAAGAGAAACCCTATGACCGACGAGGGTAGTGGCTCTTAGGCATCAGGCGGTGGTGGGCGTGTAAAGATGTTGGGGAATGTTGCGAATGCAGGGAGAAGAGAGATCAGCTGAAAAGGAATGAGTTGGAGGAATGAGTGAAGGCGAGTATGTTCAGCACCCTTCAAATGTGTGTGACAGTACAAATCCTTTTATAGAGATGGTATACACCTGCCCCAGAAGCGTTGCATCTGTGGTTGCTGTGTCACATGTGTGTCAGGCAGGTGGCAGAAAGGAGACAGGCTGTGTGTAGTCTCAGAATTCTGATCTATGAACATCTGAATGGTCAGTAGCCTACAATGCCCTGAAAACAAAAAAAAAAAGTGAGCATGAGACCGCCCCCAGTCCAGAGCCAGGGGTCCTGGACAGGGAGCTAGGCTGAGATGACCACCAGTCCAGACTGGTGCCACACAGGCCTGGGAGCAAGCCAGAGACTAGAAGAACCCCACCTGGCACTGGGGACCTCAGGCAGGAATGAGCCCCATGACAGATGACCCTCCCATGGAGCCATTCAAGCAGGCCAGGCAAGGAGCAAGCCGGAGATGACCACCAGACCTGCCTGCTCCATGGGGTCCAGACAGGGAGCTAGCCTGAGATCACCACCAGTCTGGTGCCACACAGTCTGGGGGAGGGGGATCAGGCAGGGCATATCATGCCCAAAATGAGCCCTGCCTGATCCGTAATGCAGGAGCAGGGCATAGCACTACTGAGACCACTTCTGAGATGGCCCCACATACTCAGAGACTCCTGGCACCTTTAAGAGAAGCAAGTAACTGGCGGAGCAATGGAAGAGAAAGAAAAAAATAAACCCACAAGGATGTGGGGAGAGGCAGAACTGGAGACTTGAGGGTAGTGAGGAACAGCCTGATGTGAGTAGGCAGTGATGCCACCTAGGAGCATGGTGGGGTCCTGGCCTGTCCTGCCACCGAGGGCCACATCTGGGTCTGTGGCATTGCAGCAGTAGGCGTCTGCTACCACCAAAGGCCAGGCGGATGTCCCTGGGCTGGGCTGCCCACCCCCCTCCAGGGACATGTTGATGTCTGAGTGCTGTACAGAACTGGCCTCACCCCTCACCTAGGCTGGGACAGCTGGTGCTGGAGGCATGAGAGTAGGAGAGCCAACCTGCCCTAGCCAGCTGCAATGGGCCCACGTTGTGGGAGTTGGCCCCCAGGATACGAGCATGCGAGAACTGGCCTAACCACTCATCTCCTGTGTGGTGGCGTGGATAAGGAAGAGGTACACTCCTCCTCCCTGCTCCCTAACCAGCTGCAGCAGAAGGGCGTCCTGACCCTGGGGTCATGAGAGCAGGAGAGCTGTCCCTGCCCCTCACCAGCTGCAGCACTCGGGGAGAGTGTTCCCTGAACCTTGCCTGGGCAGTACAGTAGAGCTGATCCTGGTAGCAGGGTCCCATGTGAGCCAGCCCTGAGGGCATGAGTGTGGGAGAGCTGGCCCTGCCACTTGTCTGCCCTGCTGTGACGTGGAAGATGGCCCCACCTCACCCCTTGCCCCTTGCCACCTGTGGCAGGCAGGCGAGCTGGCCCTAAAGTCACCAGAGCAGGAGAGCTGTCCAGCCCCTCACTATAGGCAGCAGACCCTGCACCCCACCTGGACAGCACAGTAGAGCTAGCCCTGGATGGGGGGGTTGCAGGTGAGCCAGCCAAAAGGGCATGAGTGTGGGAGAGCCAGCCCTGCTACTTGTCTGCTGGGCAGTGGCACAGTTGAGGAAGGGATGGGGGAGAGATGCCTCTTCCTCACCATCTATGGCTCACAGGAGAGATGGCCACAGGGTGGGAGAGTTGCAGATGTCCCTCACCATCTGCAACACTCGGGGGAGTGGAGCCTGTACCTCATCTGGGCAGCAGGGCAGAGCTGGATCTGGTTGCAGAGGCTGGTTGGTGAGGTACCCCAAGGGCATGAGAGTGAGAAAGCCTTTGGGACGGCAAGCTCAGATATCTCTCAGGCCAGATTTAGGCCCACCTCAGCAACTACCCCATTGATGATGTGCTGAAGTGCAGGAAGAGGCTGGTCCTACAGATTCAAAACTGCAGGATCTCCATGACAAAGGACAACAAGATATCTGAGAGGAATCCCAGTGAGGTTCTAGTATTGATAGACTAGCAGAAGCCAGAGGCCTCATACCAGACCAAGCAGTCATTGCAATGAATATTTGCAAACAAAAAAGCATGGACAAAAGGGTCTACTGAGACAGGCGTGGTGGTGCACGCCTTTAATCCCAGCACTCGGGGGGTGCAGAGGCATGCATATCTCTGTGAGTTCGAGGCCAGCCTGGTCTACAAAGCAAGTCCAGGACAGCCAAGGCTACACAGCCTGTCTCGGGGGGGGGGGGGGTATTGTGGGACACATTGACACATTACATACAGCTTTCACAATAAATTTTTTTCTCTGTTGGGGGGTGGGAGGTTGCAAGGGTGGAGGGCAGGTACAAGAGGAGGATATGAGTGTGATTGGGTGCGTGGTGAGAGAGTCACAAAAGAACCAAAAAAAGTTTAAAAAATAAATAAAAGTAATATACAGATCTTGGCTGAACTAAAGCTCAGCGTAGATCACTTGTCCAAATGCATGAGATCCTGGGCTTGGCCCCTAGCACTGCCGTCACACATTCATGCATGCACACACAATGTGAAGATCAGGAGATCATAGGAATCTTCTAGAACCTGGTCCACATTAGGCCAGGTATGAAGTCCTATGTCTCACCATGCTGAGAGACATGTTCCTAGGATTCAGGGTGGACCCTCCTTTCTTCTCTTCAGTGGACCACCATGGATTCTCCTGCCCAGTGTCCTAATACAGGGCTCCGTTGCTCTGCCTTACCTCTGTAGGCTCACTGTGTGTGACATCTCCTTCCTGTCTCACTTCAGGGCAGCTTCCTGAGCATAAATGTGTTGGTAGTTGCCCCAGAGTCCTCTTGGCCTGTGCTTAGTGGCATGTCATCCCAGAAGAGGTGACCACAGACCACCCAAACGGTCCATTCCCTGGGAAGAAGAACGAACTGCTAGTGTTGAGGTGTCTCTGCGTGGGATTGCTCCCTCCTTTGTTTCATACCTCAGTGGATCTTCTAGAAGAAACTGTAGAGGCTCATTCATATGGGACAAGTTGTCTTCACTGGGTGCTTCTGTAAAACTGAGGAGGTCATGTAAGCGATGCATGTTGATTTGCTGGTCTGTAGAATGGCCTCCTCTCCTCAGAGGGGTGAGAGGATTTGGTGAAGTAGCCTGGGAGGTTCTGAGCTCTTGGCATGACACTTTTTTATAGCTCATGCCAGCATTCCTTACTTCCACCATTCTCTACTCTTCTTCCTCCCCACAGTCTCTTCACCTCCCCCCACCCCCGCTCTGGAAAACTCTTATGCTTCTGGAGTCACTACCTCCAGATAGCCTACCTTGGGAACCTCTGCTCACAGAGCAGCCTCTGGCATCTCTGTCCTGTGGAACCTCCCTAACGCCTTCACTCATGGTACCCACAGGTCATGCTAGATGAAGAGGTGTCCAAGTGGCAGCACCCTGACAGATCAATAACCCATTCCTCACTTGCCATTCTGACTGGGAGGCTGTAGTTACTGATCCCCAACATTGTCTGTATAGAATGTCCCCTGGCTGGGCTGTGGCATTCTTGAGGGAGAGACATTGCCCAGCTGGTTTGCCTCATTCATTCTGCATGAACTCTGCAGGCACTCACTAAGGGCTGTGTTTGGATGGTACCATTCATTCTTCAGCATCCCCTGAGATGTCCTCTAGGCCTTTGTTCCTTCTCCTTTCTTGCCTAGTTGAAGTGATTTTCAACCTAAACACACACACACTATTTCCTCATGTTCCCAGCCAGCCAGTTCTTCCCACACCAATCTGTGGATTTGAAGACAAGCCTGGCAGCCAGTCTATGAGGTATGATGGTTACTGTGAAGGATCATGTGGCAGGGTTCTCTAGAACCAATGGAAGGTGTCTTCCAAAGACACCTTATTGGGCTAAGAAGTCTCTCAAGCTGTGGTGGTTTGCAGTTCCATTTTAAGTCCTATCTTAGGAACCGGGAGTGAGAGGGCTCAAGTATTAGTCCAGGGGCCAAGGTCAATATTGAAGCTTACTAGTCAGAGAAAGAGTTCAACCTCTCTCCTCCTTTCTGCTATGTCCAGGTATTCTGGGGATAAATGATGCCTGTCCACCCTGGGGAAGGAAATGTCTGTACAGATGTAGAAATGCATACATGAATCCTACCCTACAATATACCCCCAGATACCCAGAAATAACACCCAGTCAACTAGAAACAACAACAAGAAAAACAAAACAAACAAACAAATAAACAAACAAAAAACACCATCCTGGATCTCTTTCTCTACTGGATCAGGAGCTTTTACAAGATAAAAGACTTGTACTTTTTCATTTGTATATTAACTAATGCAATTGATACATAAGTTGTATGCATTAATGTGGGTGGATACAGCTCTGAATCCATAGTGAACAGCTGTCTACCACATCTGTAATCAAGTCATGAGTGATGATGGGACGTTAGTAAAAGGGACATGGAAGCAGAGGGGAGGGTCTCAACTAGCTCTGAGGAAGAAGGCAGGGAGACATCCAGGACCTACAATGGGCGGAATGGAATTTTCTGGTGAGGAAGGGTGGAGGCACGGAAAACACAGGTGGCCAGTGCTTGGGGAGTCAAGCTCCCATTGTCGCTCCTGGTCTTACCTGCCACCTCTGGAATGCTATTCGGTCCACACTCACACTGTGTTGGTTATTGGAACTTAGAGGTCACTTGCAGACTTTATGCTTTCTACGTTCTGCACAAACATTTTATGACGTGAGCCTGCGCAATCAGCCTGCACAGAGCAAGGGTGGTTTTTCTAGGGGAAATGAAAGCAGCTGTGCTGAAGGAGCTGTACCTGGAGACAAGGCATGAGGATCCTACAGGAGACAGGGGATAGTGAAAGTGTGGGGGTGCTGAAGCCCATCGTTCTCCCAGCCCTCAGCCTAGAGTGCATTTTTCACGCAACAGTTGGCTTTATCAGCATTTTAAAATAGCAAAACCTCAGGTTCCTCCATTAAGAAGAGTCTAGTAGCACTTTTAACTTAGGAGGCCAGGAGTAGCATGTGTGATGATTTTTCATAAATAAAGGTAAAATTCCACATGCTCACTTAGCCTATTGTTTTCAAGTGAAAACTACTACTACTACCAACCCCAACAACAGCAACAGCAGCAACAACAATAAAGCAATACTAAGCAATGTTTCCTAATCTCTTGTCCCTCAATGTTGACATTTTTATGTTCCCATTGTCTGTGGTCTTCTC